ACCGAACTACCAGTGTTCAGTGACTTTACTGCTTGGCCGCTGGTGGGCTTCTCACCTTCAAATGAATGTTCATCAAGACTTCTTTGCGTCAAATCTCATGTTTCACTTTTTAAGTCAATTAGCATTCCTCATTTGGAACTTACAATTCTGTTGGTAAAACTAATGAAAATAGGCTGTTGAAATTATCCATAGACAAGGTTTATTATTTCACTGATTCTTTAACAGTGTTAGCACTTAGCATGGAATAAGAAGGCATCTTATAAACTAAAACTCAAGACATTTTTTGCTAATAGAGCACCTGTTATTCACAGCATGACTGTTATTCATCAGTGGTATCATGTTAGCACTCACAATAATCCAGCTGATCAGTTGGGTCTTAAATTTGGGACCTAAGGAACTTTTTCATAATGATTATGGTAGTAATCATTATGAAGATTACTACCATAATCATCTTCTTCATAATGATTATGGTAGAACTAAAAGTAAGTTAAAATTTTCATGTCCTTTTCTAGATAAAAATTCGCTTCTGAATGTAGGAGGCAGACTTAAAAATAGTTCTCTTAATTGCAATAAAAAATTTCCTTATGTAATGCTAAAAGATCATGTGCTTACTACATTAATTTTTGAATATTACCATGTTAAATATTTGTGTCTTGATGAGCAAGCTTTATTGCATCAAATTCACAGTAAATTTTGGGTTGTTAATGGTCGAGATATAGCTGGATGGTTGTACATGAACGTATAACATGTTTTAAGGTTAAACCAGTTGTATGAGAACACTTAAGGGAAATTTACCTGGAGAGAGTTAACAAAGGATTTGTATTAATACTTATGGACTTGATTTCTGATCCAAGTATAAAAATCAGAGAAAGTATAATTACACAAAAGTGTATGTTGCTCTATTCATATGATTAGCTACTAAAGTGAAAACATCAAATGTTTTATATATTCGATGTATTAATAAAATTTTTTAGTGCCTATCAAGGATAACAATGCTTACCTTAACATTACTGTGTTTTTATTGAATAGTATTGAAATGGAACTGTTTAAAAGGGCAAGTAAAATTGTAGCATAGTGAATTAATTATGTCCTTTATAATGTTTATATTATTTTATATGGTATTTCATGATTATTTTTTTATATTATTTCTGAACCGTTATCGGTAAAGTTTTGGGGTATATTAAGATCTTCTGTTAGTTTTAATAGCCGTAATAGTGGCTGCATAGCTTGCAAAAGTGCAATATATTCAGCTTCTGCTCAGGATAAAGAGACACATGTTTGTTTTCTTGAAAACCACGAAATACTAATGCTGCTTAATAAAGTTACACTTCCTGATGTGAATTTTATATCTTCAGTATCTTGTGCCCAATCATCATTTGAATAAACAGTACGATCAGATTCTTTACTTGACAAAATATGTAGAGATAGATGTTTTATTGAATTTAAATCTAATGATTCTTTGTACAGCATTCAATTACTTTAGATGAGGATTATTACATCTTCTGCTAAGTATGTGTGTTGAAGCTGCAATATGTGGTTTTGTGATAGATGATATATAAAAATGACTTCCAACAGCTTCACGAAATTTACCATTTGAAGGTACCGATTTTCTTTCTTTTGAAAGCTATAATAATTGTTTTCATTACTATACGAGTAGGTTTTGCTTCTACAAGTTTGCTACACAGTTGTTCCACTTTATTTTTCTGGGATAAAAGATAACTCCCGTCTTCCTTTCAATTAATTTTCATGTCTACAAAATATTTACTTTCACCAAGATGCATTATTTGATAGTGCTTCTTTAAATTCTTAATTACTTGGAGAATTAATCCTTCAACTTATTAGAATAACATCAGCATGCACAATTACATTAATTCTTTTATCAAGATCACCTTTCGTGAAACGCAATGGATCTGCTTTGTTTTGCTCAAACCCAATATTTTTAATGTATTTTTAATTTCTGCATTCTAGCACCTAGCTATTTGGGATGATAAATAGATCCTTCTGGTTGTCTCATGTACATATCTTCATTTAACTTGCCATGCAGAAATGCTGTTCTAACATCTAATTAATGAACATTTGCATTATTACATCTAATTGTAGTGTGTTCCACTACTGGTGAAAATGTTTTATCATAATTCACTGCCGTATTTTTGAGTAAATCCTTTGGCCTAATCTTGCTTTGTATTTCATCTTTTTAACAGCTTCACTGCATTTGGTTTTGAAGAACCATTTGCTGCCTACTGCATGTTTTCCTGGCAGTACATTTGTAAGTTTATAAATTTTGTCATGAAGAAATATTTTTACGTCATGAAGAAATTAGCAAATTACCAACCAAAATATTGCCAAGCTAAATCCATTAAACTAGCAATTAATCACCAAATATAACACTGAAAAAATAACAAAGTGATGAAATGCTCCAATATTTCTTCCCTCTCTCTGGGAAAAAATGGATTTTAAAAATCACATGGTGAAGAATGATAATCAAAAAGCTGACAACAGAGTAAACATTTGTCACTACACTACCTGACAGTAACCCCCAAATGTTATAAAAAAAAAGTGGCCCCATCCCCAAAATATCTGCAAGATTTCAGATTTTAACAATTGCCTAAAAGGTCTTTCTTAAAGTTTGATATGATTCATCAGTACATGATATCGATAAAGATGGCACAAATGGAATAGCAAAACATTTTATAGGATATGCATTTGGACTAATATGGGAGCACTATATATCTTCTGTAAATTTCAAAAGTTAAAAATATATTTGATTTTTTTATTAGATTATGCATTTAGACTAATATGGGAACACTAGATACCTTCTATAGATTTAAAAAGTGAAAAAAAGTATAGAGTGTAATTCTATAAAATTATTTGGTCTACCGGAAAGTTCTGTCCGTTTCTATAACAAACACTTTCGACATGTAAGCACATATTTAATTGGCGCATGTTCGACTCTCTATTTTTATCTCTTAATGTACACATACTGATGTAGCAAATTAACTAAAACAAAGTTGATTCACATTAGTGTGAAGCAATAGTGTACCCATGGCTACTGATAAAGTTCATTTATGCCACCGATTTTACATGAATTTCAACAAGAAATGCTAAAAAAGCATGTAGAAATATTTATTGAAAATGTTTGGTGAATGTACAGTTTCTGATAGGACATGCAGAAGATGGTTCGAAAAATTTGGAAGAGTTGATTTTGACCTTTCTGATAAGCCTCGTTCTGGCGACCAACTTTGATTGACGATGATGTTGTTAAGAGCATGTTGGAACACGATCCTTTTTCTAACAACATCAGAGATTGCAGAAAGGCTTAATTAAGCTCAGCAAACCATCTCCGACCACATTTGGAAGATAGAATTGGTGCGGAAATATTCAAGATGGGTACCACATTAAATCAGAAGAATTTGGATGATTGAGTCGTCATATGCACATCTTTGCTTGCTCGGAATAAAATCGAGCCCTTCTTGAACTGGATAATAATTGGGATGAAAAGTGGATTACCTATGTAAACATCGTAAGTAAAAGGGCATATTGTGAGCCCGAAAAACCTAGCCCTTCCACCACTAAACCAAATTTGACTCTGAATAAGAGAATGTTGTGTATATGGTGGGACATTCGAGGACCAATACATTATGAGCTTTGAAAACTGAACGAAAGACTTAATTGGGAGAAGTATTGTCAGCAACTGGATAATTTAAAGACAGCAGTCCAAGAAAAGAGGCCAACATTGCTCAATAGGAAGGACATTATACTGCATCATGATAATGCCAGGCCACATGCTGCTTTAGGGACTTGTCAAAAAATTGCAGAACAAGGCTGGGAAATTTTGTCGCATCCACCATATTCCCAACAGCACTCTCCAACTATCACTTGGTTTTGTCCTTACAAAATTTTTTGAAGGTAAAAAAATTCAATAATGAAGACGATATCAACAAGCACTCATTAAATTTTTTGCATCAAAAGATATAACATTTTTCAGAAATGGGATATGCAAATTGCCCTCACACTGGCAAGAAGTCATTAATAATAATGGCAATTATATTAGTAAACTGAATATTTAATGTTTTTAATTAGAGAATATCATGAACTAAATGCATTTTTATTAATTTAAATCAATCAGATTAAAAAGTAAAAAAGTAATATTCTTAAGAACTGCATCTACTGCTTTTAACCGTGGTTAAATAGTTTAGTTTGTTAATTTATAAAAGAAACAGCTTAGATAAGAAAGAATAATATTTTACATTTTCCCTTCTGTTTCAAGACTAATAGCCCTTTTGGGCTAAAAACAGATTTGGCAACAAATTGCCATGATAGAATGATTTTTAGCATCTTTATAAAAATAAAACAAAACTGGTTTAAACAAAAGAGAAAGAAAAGAATCTTAAAGCATAAAACTTTTATACCACAGAGGTATATATACAGAGGTTTATACACATAAAAAAGTATAAAACATTTGTAAAAGTTGGTACATATGCAGCTATAACCTAAAATGAATGATTTCTAAACTGCTTTTATTTTGAACAAAGTTTCATGGTCCTTGATATGAAATTTTAAGACTTGCTTTGTTTGTCTATATTAAACAACACTAGCAAAGAATACTTTATATACTCTACGAGTTCATATCTGGAATGGTCTGTCAGGACCTAATCAGGAGTATTATTAAGACAAGAAAAAAATGGTAGAAGTTAAAGTATGTAAAATATGCATAGTAACTAAATATATAAAAGTATAAAATAACTACTAAATTCTTGTAACTGCTTGGGAAAATGTAAATTTTCTTAATCATTCAGTCAAAAGTATAAAATGCAGTGGAACAAATACCAGGTGCAAAGAAAAAAGAATTAAGCCAAGTCATCTTTAGCTTGGCAGTATGGGATAAGAGAGAAAGTAAACCGAGGAAAATTTTATAATACAGATTACCATTAAAATTATATTCCTTGTGTGTGCATAGAAGGTACATCTCTTAACATATTAATTATAAAACTTTCACTTACTTATTTTCCAAAGTAAACTGTATCATAAATGGTCTCCTGTTGAGACCAGTAGAACATGAACTGAAACAAGTCAACTTGTACGTATAAGTATTAATATCCTCTTTCCCTGAAATAAAAATTAAATTTAGTACTAACATGATTTTAAAATTATGTAAAATTCAACTTTAGCTAAGTAATAGTAGACAAATTAGAATTAAAACAATGAACTAAAACTGAATAAGTTTAATGAATGCAGAAAACTTCAAGATGTCAGGATTTTTATTTTATAAGATAGCTATAAGATAGCTAGATAGCTATATTTTTAACCCCTTGACGAACCGTGGTCACGCCCTGAAACCACCAATTTCTGAATTCCCCCTCCCGCTTCTTTCCAAAATTTTTGAGTGAAAACCAATAGATTACTTATCTTTTACCTCTAATTAACAAAAAAAAAATGACTGCAGAAACATTCATTTTATTAGGTCTTAATACTTCAAAATGGATGCCTTTTAAAGTTCATATTTAATAAGACAATAAAAAGTATAGCAATAATTAAACTGCATATATAAACAACCTGTGTATATTTATGGCATTTACTTTGTGGTTCCAGGGCACGACCACTGAGTCACTAGAGCATTGTGTCCCTATGATCTAGAACTGTGGTTCTCAACCTTATAACTAAGGCATACCATCTAACGAAACACTGAAAAACTTTAGTATGACCACTACGTTTTACAACGATCATTTTTCAATTGAGATATTTAGAATATATATAGATTGCCATTTGCACAACTTATTGGCTGTTTGTATTAAATATGCACACATAAAAAACATTACTTTAAAAATCGGTTACCATTTTAATTATCAAAATTAAAGTTATAATATTTTAATTCTAAAATTTAGGATGAAATTTGGGCCTGTTTAAGAGAGATCAATTTCTGTATGTCTGGACTTATTTCACTTAGGATTTCACTGTAAATTAGCATCCACTTTTAATTTTGTTCTGCATTTAGTTTTCAAATATAACATGGTATAAAAAATCATTGTTTACAGAAAAAGGTTGTGCAAAAAGGCAATAAAAATTAATAGCTTTATTTGAAATGCCTTTAAACTGTTTTTTCGGTTCAGCCAAAAATTAATAAGTGTGTTTCTTTTTGAAATTTTCAGTTAGAGTTCGATCACAGGAAATTTCTACCACTTGTTCTTTTTCTTCACAAAAAAAAGATTTCAGATACATTTGAACAAAATAGATTTTTAATCTTATTTTCTCTTCATGATCATGAGAAAAATATATGCAGAAATTATTTATCAATGAAAAACAATGATTTTTAATGTTGGATGCTAATTCTTCATTTATTTTCACCTTATTTTCGGTTAGAAAACTTTCTAAAAATGGTAAAAAGCTTAAAATATTATTATCCAATTCTTTGATTATTAGCTCAGGTTTTTTAATATTGCATTTATTTCATCTCTACTGTTAAGCAAATTAACACTTTTCCCTTGCAATCCCAAATTTAATTCATTTAACTCCAAAAATATCAGCTAAATATGCTTAAATGCGCCAAACCATAATTCACTAAATAAACATTTTTGCAGTTCAAATTTTTGAATCACATAGGGAAATTTGACTTTCTGATCGAAGTTCTAAAAGATGATTTAAAACTTTTCCTCTGGATAACCACCTTACTTCAAAATATAACAAAAGCATTTTATGTTCACTGCCCATCTGATGTTTACCTGTTAAAATCTGAGCTCATCACTGCATACGGCAATGCACTTACTCTAAGGAACATCATTCTCAGATATAAAATTATCAATTACTTTGAAAATTTCATTTGCAGTTGCTCCATCATGAAAAGATTCACAATATAATGCTCTTCAGCAATTCGTTTATCTTCTTCAAAATGAACGCAATCAAATAATTGAACAAAGTACTTTCATCCAACTGCAATGCAAAATACTCACTATGTTTAATTTTTCGAATAAGTGTCTTGTGAAATTTGCCATTTCATGAATATGTCGACTTACAGTATCATTTGATAACGGAATTTTATTAAGTTCATTAGCCGCTTTTTCTTTGAATAATGTTAAAACAATATCTTTAACTGCTGGTAATATACGGTTTTCTGCAACAATGTCAGCCTGCCCAGTCTTGGCAATTCTTAGGCTTACTAGGAAACTAGCTTCCAAAGCTTTCTCACTTGAAGTAACAAAATCTTTTATTACTTGCTTACTATTTTTGAACTCTGATAATTTTGTCTTAAAATATACTTCAGGTTTATCCTTTAAACTGGCATGCTTAGATTCAAGATGTTTTTTATGAAATGACGGTTTCATACTTTGATTGGATAACTGTTCACCACAAAAAACACAATGAGGTTGAAGGTCCATTTCATCTCCATTCCAAGTAAACCATTTGATAAGTAATTTTATTATATTTTCTATAAACAATTTTTCTTTTCTTTTCAGAATTCTTAGTGCTAGTAGATTGTCCTCGATCCATTCATTATCTGTGAATCTTCACTTTTCTGCTTAGTCAATCCTAGCCATTTTTTCATTTTGAAAATTTAAGTTTGTTTTATTAATTTTTTCACAAATACTTAAATGCATACTACATTATAGCTTTAAAAAATGATAATATTCTCAAATTGCATAGAAAAGTAAGGAATACAAAGCAACGAGAAGACAAAATAACTTCTGTTAGAGACAGTAAATCGAAGTAAAAGAATGATTCTAATTGAAAATGGAGCAATATGAGCTCGGAGATGGTGGTATAACTGCTATAAAGAAAAGTATAAAGAAAACAAAGAGTAGTCCAACAATTTTTAAAATTTTTGTCAAAGCTAAGATAAAATTAAAAGGGTTCAAAACTACAAAATACAGATGCATGTACGTGTGTGTATAAAAAAACAATACATTGTGGAAGATTCTCAGCTTTGTTAAAGGAAATTACACTTGTTACCAATTAGTGAAAGATACAGTACTTGACTTCTGTAACTATAAGTTGAAAAAAAGGATTTCTTCACAAAAAGATTTTTTGTACTATTTATTTCAAACACCCTTACTATGATAAAATCAAAATTAATCAGATTAAAAAAAAAGTATCAATATCTTTTACCAACTCAGCACGTCCAGGGTCCCCCTTGCTTCAAATTCGTTAAAACACTCAGAAGTATGATTGCCAACCATGAAATTTTAGCTTAAAACAGCTGAGAATGTCAAATTTTCAATATCACCACTTTAACTGGATTATGAACAATGATGAGACGATTACAGAAGCAATGAATACTCTTAAAATTGATAACACTCACTGCTACGACTTTGAAAATCTTTACACCACTTTGCCTCAAGAGAAGAATGGAGACTTTTCCTAAGAAGTGTCTTATTTAACATTTATCTACAATTTGATAAAAATAATTCTTAAGCAAGTGCAAGGTATACCTATGGAGCCAACTGTTCTACAGCAGGCTGTACATGATTCCTTTTCACGCAAGAATATAAATTTCAGCAGTCACTAGATCTAAAACAGCGAAAATGACATAGTCTACCTTGATATTCATGTTTTAAATTACAAAATTTTGAAAATGTATGATAAGCACAGAAAGTTCACGTTTCACACTCTTAAACTCACAAACTAGACTTCTAACATTTGAAAAGAGTCATTATTAATACAATTAATTCCCAACTTCCTAGAATAAAAAGAATCTGTAATTACACTGGCCTTCTCCAAGAAGAAATTGAGTACTTTATTAACATCTTGCAGGAAAATCACATTCCCAAGAAAGTAATTATGCATTCTTTAAACCCGCAAGAGAAGTAAATAGTAGATGACTAGAACAGGTGATCTAATGTAAAAATGTAATATAAATTCTTTTTACTCTTTGAATTTGGCTTTTAAGATCAGAGTATTTTTATTAAATAAAATTATGATTCACTGGTCAACTCATCCTGTTAATAATTTTATGGGCCTTTTTCAAATTTCCCTAAGATACTCTGGAGCCTGACTGCGTGAAATATGATGACTTTTACTAACAATTATTTCCATTTCACCTGACTTTTGGCCAGTTTAAGCTACTACTTTGAAATTTCTTCATTTTGTTCTGTTTAGTTCGCTAAAAGAACTAACAGCTTAAAAATGATGCCATCTTGAACTAGTTGTCTCTGACTACGACCCCCATCGCCCCCCCCCATTTTTCCAAAAGCCTCCATTAGATAGCGACAAGATCATGAAGACTTGCTTTTTGTTTTGGAAGTTCTGCAGTAAGGTGAAACTGACTCTTTCCAATTGCTGATAGTCCCTCTTTAAGATTCTTTTGAATTTTCGCACCTTTTCACGTGCAAATTTTGTACAGTTTAATTCTAGCAAGAGCCTGTGTTGACCACAAGGCATGTTTGTAGAGAAATTAGGTATTTTGGAAGCAGGTAAAAAGAAAAATGAGCAATGCTCTCACTGGGAATCGAACCAAGAAGGCAGGAGAAATACCCTATATACTCCCCCTTTTAAAGAGCGACTGGAGGGAACCCAATCGCAATATCCTGGGTGTAGAGAATTATCTTCCAGTTCCTTTTAAGTTTGGGCACCACTGTAGAGACATTAGGTATTTTTGGAAGCAGGCAAGATGAAAAATTAGCAATGCCCTCGCCAGGAATTGAACCACAGACCTCTGGAATACGCGGCCAGTGTGGAGACCACTACACCACGAAGGTGGGAGAAATACCTTATATGTTTTCTCCTTTAACTTTATTTCTACATCTTTTTACATTCTGAGCAAAAAGCTCCTCCTTTTTATATAAACAGGTCTTTACTTGGCAGGTTTTTTTCCTTAGAAAAAAGTTTTAATTCTATGCAACCAGGACACCCTTAATTTTATTTTTACAAAGGATTTTAAAGTTTAATTTTCATATCTGAGAAGTGATTGAATATTTTAATTCTTTACTTTTATTTGTTCATAAGTCTTACTAGGCCACAGAGTTTTTGGATTTACTTTTAATTATGTTTCATTTTTAGGTTTTATTGTAGTAATTTGTATATATTTTTTAACTTTGAATGCTTTAGGACAGGCAAGCATGTTGGAAAAAGGGGTAAATCTAGTGAGACTTTTGTTAGTTTAAATTTGTAAGGAAATTTGAATTTGATTAATACTGTTTGAAATCTGAATGGATTTGTCAGGCAAAATATGTTTGCATGATCTTAGTTAATCAACAAGGTTGGAGGTGTCAAGCACTTTTTCCTTGACGAGTTCTGTTTGAAGCTTTGAATAGAAAAGACTAACAAAATAATTTTTTGTGCACATTTTTCAATTTTTCTGTACTTTGGATAGGTTTTTAAAATATTTTAAAATTTACTTTATCACTCATATTAGAGAGTGTCTCAGGAATTTGATAGGAAATTACAAATGTTTTTAATAACTTTTACTAAGTTTCAAACTTCCTTTCTTCTTTAAATTCCTTTTTTTTTTTTTTTTATTTTTTTATATAACTATATACATGGAATGAAACTGTGGTCGAGGACACGACATGAATGATTTGATTGTGAATGCGGCACAAACTTGCATTAAAATTTTCGGTGAAACAGGACTTTTCCCATGACTCACTGTGAACATAGCCTAACAAACTTGTCTAGATTTCTTCATAATTAGAACTGGCCGAAGAATGTAATGACAGAACAAATTTGGAGGCATTGAAACATGAACACTGAGACATAGATGTGTAGAAATACTAATTGCATAGATATTTGATGTTTAGAACGTCCATTTATTTTCAAGAAGAAGCAGCCGAGCCGGATTAAATTCCTTTTTTATTTGAATTCTCATTTTGTGGCCACAATTCACTTGGCACTCTACTCGTGCCTATTAAAGAACATCTCCAATTTCGATATTATTGCCATAAAAGCGAATATAGCAGCACACACGATTGCAGAAAGGCTTCTGGCCAAGAGGAAAGCACAAGCAAAAGTGACACATCAGTTCATAGAAAGAAGGGAGGGAGTCAAAAGTTTTAGTTTTAGTTTACAATTTGGTGATTGGTCAAGAGGCATCTGCATTAAGGGTTACGTAAGATTGCATGATTAATTTGAATGAGGCAGTTTAGACTTACAACGCTATTTTTAGGACAGATAGATGAAGTTCCTGAATGAAAAATAAAAGAGGTTATAGGGAATTAAATTTAGAAGTTTGCTTTCATATTTCTTATCTTACACATATATATCATATAAAAAATTCTGATTACAGTGTATTATCCATATCATATTTTAGCATTAATTTTGAATTTAATTCAATATTAAATGTCCCAGATTTAGTACTGAGTAGGTAAACATGACATCAGTATGTTGAGTAGCTATAATAATATGATACTGGATGGTGCAAATAGGTATCTTCGTTTAGATTTGTTCCTGCATCCTAATTTAATAGAAAAAAATATTTTTTAAAAAGTTTTTTTTAATTTTTAAGTGATAATTATTATAATATATTTTCCTTCTTTGTATTAAACTTTTTTATAGAATGTTCCAACTTTTTATTAGACATTATTGAATTATTCAATTAACATATTTTATACCTAAACCATATCAGCCTCATTCATGGCAATAACATGGTACTTAAATTTTTTATTTGAAGCAATTTAACTATTTACATTTTTTTTATGTTAAAATTGATAAGTTCTAAAATACTGCATGCATAAAGCCCAACGATACTTTAATAATAACACTTTTTCAATCAATATATATTTTAATGCATTTTTGTTAAAAATTTATTTGCATATACAGCGCAATATGGGTAATCCACACACTGCCAGATCAAAGGCTGACTGAATTATGTTACACCTTTCCAAGTTTTATTTACATTTTCCTCTTTCTGTTTTTTTTTTTTTTTTTTTTTTTTTTTTTTTTTTTTTTTTTTGTGCATAAAATTTGTACTGTTAGGACTGAGGATTATTCAGAAAGCAAGCTCCCAAATATTTTTTGGGAGCTTTTTGGGAGATATATTTAAATCAGAATTTTTTGTAAATTTCTCTACCCGAAGATGGAGCTAACTTACTTATGCAGTATTGTAACTTTAGTACCTAAAGAATGTGACATAACAGAAAAGTTTCTACGGATGAGTAAATCTTACACTCAAGATGTTTAAGGCTATAGAAGATCCCGTTGACTGAAATTTGTTCCACAATAGGCTTTTTGAATGCAAGGAATATACAACCATGTGAAATCCATAAGTGAGGTGCAATGAAGATACAAAATTCTTGCAAACAGGCTTTTCATGATCACCAATTTTTCATTAGTGTTTCCTGAATTCGCAAACCAATCTACATGAAACTCTTTATTGAATGCTTGGGTTACCGAAAAGTTCGAGCAAGGTGTAAGCAAAAATGCTTATACAGAGGGGCATGAAAGGTAAAAATTTTGCCACTGCTTTGACCTTCCTCAGCATTATCTCATGTCACGGCATCATCGAAGCAAGAATCAATTGAACGGAAATGCCTCGCCAACTTAGTAAACATTCAAATGTACCTGGTAGAAGTTCACATTTAAAAATCTGCACAGAAAAGGTGTGATACTGATGGATTTCACATCTGGAGACAAAACTGTCAATGCTTCTGCTTTCGATGTAACACTGAAAAATCTATGATGTGCCATTCAAAATAAGGGATGTGGTTTGCTTGGTGATGGTGTCATTTTATGGCACAACAATGCCAGGCCACATCCCGTTTATTTGACTGAAGATCTTATCAAGTCCTTCAGCTGGCAATAAATGAATCATCTGGAACATAGTCTCGACCAAGTGCCAAGTGACTTTCACCCATTCTTTCACTTGAAGCAGTTCTTGAGTGACCGGTGTTCCAAAGATGTTGAAGAGGTAAAAGATGCCTTAATATCCTAGCTAACCTCATAAGCGACCACTTTCTATGACGCTGACATACAAAATCTCATTTTTAATACAATACAATAAATGCCTTAAGTTGCTGGACGACAATTTAAAAAAGTAATGTTTCTAAATCGTTATTAAATATTAATATTGTCTATATCTGTCTCCTTTTATATAGAAACTAAGCTTTTTCAAACAACCTTGATAATTAATGAAATCACATTTTAGGAATGACTTAAGGAGACATACAAACATACATTCAAGTGCTTTCGTTTAAGAGGAAACATTTGTTGGTATTTGCATGTATTGGCATTTAAAGTATTTATTGAAGGGAAAATGTATCGGTATTTACATCAAAATCTGTATCTCTGTTTTCAGATCAATTTTGTTCATTTTGCTAAAAATATCAACCACACGTGTTAGTTAACCGCTTCCCTTTCAAAATTTTTTGAAAAAAATTGCAAAAAGTATAGATTCGAGATTTGCTTTCATTGTTGTTTTTCTTTACTTTGTTTTTGTTGGAAGGTGTTGCGAATACATCTAATTTGCTCTTCAGGTGCATGAGGCTTGGATGTGCTTTTCTGAATTTTGAATGAAATTAATGTGGAATAATAGTAACATTTTGTTTTGCTCATTTCTAAAACCCAAAATACCTTTGCACTGAAGATGCAGCTGTTTAGTTTGCTCCCAAACTTTTGAACATGGGGAGTTTTAGTCCTTTGCTTACTCTAAGGCATACAAAGTAATAGTGTTTAATACTAATCATATGAGGAAAGGTAAAGAGGAGATATATATATAGTAATGAAATGCAAAGTAAAGACATAACTAAACATCTGCACAATGACCATGCAAATTGAAATCAGAACAACTAACCATCTAATTCTTTGTATGGAACAATGACACTACATTGTCCTGTCACAGAATTCTTTTCATACGCAGCTTCCTTTTCCATACATTGAAGTACATGCTCATATGCTGGGTTGCCTAAAAAAAATAAATATAATTACTTTTTCTGTCATTTCTTTTATTACAATACAATATTTACTTGAATATTTCTCTCCCTCACACATTTTTCTTTCTAGTTTTTTAGCACATAATTTACAAACTTCTGATTTAGGGTAGCAGTAGTGAATGTATGATTAGGAATATTTCGTGCATTAGAAAGAATATTGTTGAAATCGATAAGTCCCTTGAAATACATAATATAATAATATTAGCGTTTTTTATGTTTGCTTTCTAATGTGCTGTGTTTATCATTTAAGCTGTCTCTTCAGAAACAACATGCACCCATATTTAAAATTTTATTAATTGAAAAGAACTTATTATTTAATACAAACATTTGATTAATTCTTCCAATAGACTAAATAAAGAGATAACAAAAATCAAAGCTAGCACAGTGTCAGATTACAGAAATATAAAAATTAGTCTACATTTTCAGTCAGGCTGTACTACAACAAAATATCCTTAATGCCTTCATATTATGTTAATAAGAAGTTTTTGCTCTCATTAAACATATGAATAATCAACAATTTTTTAAGTAGATCAAAATTCTTCTTCTACTTCAGAACTAAAACAACAATGACCACAATAGCAACTCCACTACATCTTGCTAAATATGAATAACAGTTACATAGTCTTTGATACCATGGTAGTCTAGTAGCACTGGTTGACTGCCGAAAGCACCGAATTAGAATCCAAGGGTCAAAGAACTGAACACGAAGTACTTTGATTGTGGCCACTTTAGCTTAAAACACAGTTTTGTGATATCATTTTTCATCATCACAACAAATAAGAAATGAAGATTTCTCACACAGAGGGAGGGGAGGGGAAAAAAAAGAAAACGACAGAAATTTAATAGCCATTCAGGGTCTATTAAGACAATATAAAACTTGAATTTATGTGAGTAGGCCTCATTGTATTAAAATGCAAAGTTTTGTGATATCATTTTTCATCATCACAACAAATAAGAAATGAAAATTTCTTACACAAGGGGGGGGGGAAGAAATAGTCATTCAGGCCATGTAAAACTTAAACTTATGTGAGTAGGCCTCATTATGTTAACTAGATATTCTAATGCTGAATACATATTAGGAGTATATAAAACACTTATTATGTAAGTTGAAAAAAAAAAAAAAAAAAAAGGAATTGCAGCTCCTCAGTATCACTTTACTTTCCTAACTTTGAAAAGAAGTATTATATGACACTGACAAATATAGAGGGTGTTCAGACATTTTTAGAAAGATTCCAAGTCCATTTAATAAATGATTAAAATGCATGAGTATTTCTTTAAATGTTTGATTCCACAGTTTTTTCCCCCCTCTCTGGCCATGTCTGTGTGGTTTTCACAATATTACACAACAATAAAATGAAAACATGAACATTTTAAAACTCATATTATTTCTAAAGCTTAAGTTTCTAAGATTTCAAAAACTAAAACCATTGCTTGATTGAACAGGTAGAATGGAATGAAGCTGCAGTGGCAGCGCCAAACAGGCGATACAAACTCAAAAACTCTAGAGAAAACCGCCAATTGGGCAAACAGAAAACAAAGACAGTAAACCTGTTTGCCAACCCTATGGACTGAAGGGGAGAGACAAGAGTTTTATCTATGTTACTTCTCTTTATTAAATCTCATTCTTAATGGTATATGCCTCTCTCAGTTATGACTGCTGCTTTTCTAAGTAATGTTATCTATACTTTTGTAGGCACGTGTTACTCATGCGAACCTCAAAGCCTAGCATGAAACGAAGCCCCCAAGCTTACTAACTCTGATTCTCAGCACTCATTACTCAGTGCTTGAAATGGTCTAATTGCTACTACTACTTAATAATAGCATCCTTTTTATCTTTGTTGCATTCACAGCTCATACTTGTGGCAAAAGAATCCTTCCTCCAGTGGTTAAAGACTTCAGGATAGAAAGAAAACCCATGTCTGATAAATTAAAAAACAGGGAGGGTAAGCAATGTTATAGAGGGTGTTTACACAATTTGGTACTTTTCCGTTTCATCGGCACAAATCTCGCCAAGCAGAATTTATTACCGACAACAAACAGTATGCACATAGCATATTTTATCAAATGTTAGTTTAAAGAATTTTTTACTTTTAAGGCATAAAATTTTAATATCGTTTAAGATTTTGTAAAAAGCCAATGAATAAAGACAATAAATTTGTAAAAAGGCATTAATTTAAGAATTCACGATTCTTTCATGTTTCAACATCCTGATTCGACGGTTCATATCACATGAACCCATCACGTAAACTACACTACAAAAATCTAATTCTCTCAGTAATTATCTACACTAATTTGAAGTTAAATCTCAATTTGGAATACAAGTTTAAATGTAAGAATTATTTCATTTCGTACGAATAGCTTACTCAGAAATTATGTAAAACCTCAGTGCTTTACTTTGCTAACGCATTCTTATTAGAATTGATAAATTTAAACCTTGACTTTGTTTTTTCTATATTTTTGCCTTTGGGTGAGAGGTGTAATTGCATCCTAATTGACTTAATTACCGCGAATGGCCCTTAGGGCATAAAATTGAACTATCTGATAAAAATTCTATGTAATTGTATGCCAGTATTGAAAGAAACAATCTGAGAAGAAATGGCTGCGACTTGTTTTGAAAATGAGGCGTTAAAGGCTACCAGCGAGGATATTCCGTTTGGCATCGGTTGTACCATTATTGGTGACTATTGCTTGCGCCGGCAAAACAATAAAGTAACCACAATTTTTAGAATGATTTTGAGCCTATTTAATTAATGTTTAAAATGTAAAACAATTTTTTTTTTAAATATTGAATCTGATAGCTTTTTTTCAGACCTATAAGTCTGCTTTATGATTTTTATGATAGATTAGCTTTTCATAGTTAAATCATTGTTAACAATGATTTCCAGGGGTATAGATTTCTATTTTTATTCCAAAAGTTTTCAAAGTCCATCAATCGGAGTGGGTTTGCACTTAAAAAGATCTCTTTTCAAGAGACCAAAGGCACAATAGTCCATAGACGAAACATCATGGGACTTCTTATGAATAGGTTGAAAAAGTAAATAAGCAATACCTATATCAGACTTCATTTTTTCAAGAAATGCAGTGATTCTTTTCAAGTTATGGCCTATTGCTCTGTGTTGATAAGTTTCATCTTTGAAATTCCTTTGGACAAATAAATGGCCTTTTTTTTCTGTAAACATCAACTTTCTTTTGATAGTATGATGAGTTGCTATTAACAATTTTTTGTCGCTCTTCTTACTTTTAATTTCTCACGGTTAGAGAATCCTGTGACAATAATAAACTCCTTGCTGAAACTTGCCTTGCATTTACAGAACCAAATTTTTTCTCTTCTTTTTCAATAATAAAAAGATTTTTTTTTTTTTTTTTTTTTTGTTTTTTGTTGCAGCCATTTAGGTAAATCCATGCTTTATGAAGGTCACAATGCATTTCCATTACTTCCTACTAAGTAGTTTTCATACAAGGTTCTACTGACTGTTCTGCACCGAGCCACATGCTTCAGCAAAAGCAACTGAGCATTATGTTTTTTAGTTTCTTTAAGTTGTAAATCTTGGTTTATTATTTTGTTTATTGTAACTAGAGATGTATTTAAAGACTTAAGTGGTGATGGATTTTTCTCTTGTTACCAATGATTTAACTATAGAAGATAGATAGAAATAGATGCACCTTTTTCAGGTATTCGTTTCTGCAAAATTAAATAAACAAACTTAGTGATTATGACTTAAATTATTCTGTTAAAAGCTTGCTAAATATAAAACTGAATATTAAGATGATGATCTGACTATAACATTATAAGTTTTAATAACATTTCTAAATGGGAGCAAGAATTTTAGAATTAACTTTTTACACTAGAGAATAAAGAAAGACCAACAAACAATGTATATTTAGTACAGTTGAAACAGCAGTAAAAGTAAAATTCCAAAGATTCTTACAGCAAATTTTTTCATATGATTTCCTGAAAAACATATTAGGAAACAATTGGAGGTTTGGTTATTTAACTGTGGCAAAGCACTCAAGGGCTCTGCTTTGTTGGAAAAGAGTTTTAGTCAAATTATTTAACACTATAACAGTTTACAAATTGTCTTCAAAAAATACATTAAAGCATTGATTAAAAGACTTTTAAAAAGTAATATATATTTTTTAATTACTAATTCTAAAATATTCTTGCCCATTTGTACCTGACATTTTTCCTTATAACATTCTGTGTTAATGGTATGGACATATTTCAGATACCAACAAATACGTACTTCCTTAAAGATAACAATCAAATATTACTAAATGTATATATATAAGCATGTTTCATAATTAGTCAAATATGCTAGCTGAATGACCTCTTCTTGGTCGAAGTTTACTTTATTTTATGATTTTATGCTTTGATTTTAGACAATTTAATCTTATTTTGCAACAGACACATAACCTACTTAATTATTGTTATGTGCATAATGGATTAAATATATTGCTATTGTTAAATTGCATGACTGTTATTTCATAATGGGTTCATTATGGATTGAATGCACACAGAACAGATAAAAGCTTGATGACACTAATTTTCCCAAAAAAATTTGAACTGTTTCATATTTTAACAGTCACCTAAAAGGGTTTCTTAAGTTTTTTTTTTTTTTTTTTATGCTCCTGCTGAGCTCACAGTCTACCAGTCTGCTCTTGCAGTTATTTGCACTTTTTTTTGTTTTTTTAAGCTTTATTATTAAGCATCTTTTTTTTTTTCTCAACTTTCACTAGACAAACAGTTCCAACAACAAAATCACTAATTAAATTATTTTTATTAAAAAACTAGCTGCTCACATGGCCAGCCACCTAAAGTAGCTATTGTAAAAATGAAAAAATAATAATGATTTTTTTCATATTTAAAATAATAATGATTATTGATTATTTGTGAATAAAATAATAATGAGTCCAAGTGTAATTTCACAAAAATACTGAATATTTCTAATTACACATCTTATTTTAATGCATGTTTTTTTAATTTAAACATACTAAAAAGCAGAAAAAAAAAATATTCTTAAGAACTGTACTGCATTTAAATTGTTTAGTTTATTACTCAACTAGAAAGCCCTGCGGTCATACGAAATGACCGCTGTTCTAGATATTATAAATTGTAATTAAAATGATTTGTGCAAAGGTGTCTGCTAATTCAAACTGAAATACTCAGGGCAGGCGGCGAGGACGTCCCTTTGCTTACTGCCCTACGGGGTTCCCCCTTCACTTGCTTAATTGTTTAAAGTAGAGTGCAATGAAGGAAACCACTGGCAGTACATTTCTTAAGAGCCACTGCCAGCTCAATAAATAAAGGTGGTTTAAATAATAAAATGTTAATTTACATGTCAAAGATCTCTTTGTACACAACATTTTTTGTAAAGATCTTTCCATCATTTTTAAGCTTGCCTTGCAGAGGACCATCCATTATTTTTTATTTTACATCTGTTCTTCACGAACTCTTTAACAGGAAACATAAAGTTGACAGTGTCCAAATGCAAGCTCAAGTAAAAAAATGCCAACACGCTTAAGCGTTTGGCCCTGAGACTTACGGATGGTCATAGCAAAAGCAAGTTTTACAGGAAATTGTCTATGTCTCAATTGAAACGGCAACCCTGTTTGAGACTTCTTACTTAGAAACTCCAAGTATCCCATCATTTATATTAGAAATAGGAACAAATTATAACCCATAAACCCAATGAAAAGATAACCATTCATGTCAGTGAACTGCAAAAAATATTCCACCAAAATGCTAATTCACACTTAAAACAAAATTCACACTTAAACTTAAAATCGCATACAAACAGACAGAAATTTTCAGATGATTAAAATTAAGGAACTTTAATTTAAAAGGAAACAAAATTAAGAACTTTTAAGGACCAAAAATTGATTCCAAAAAACCTAAGGACTCGACTCTTAAATATGAACCCTGAGATACAGTAACAGTTACACAGGGATTGGACCAAAATGTTGCCAAATGGTCACAGGTAAAAATCAACACCTGCAACTCCAACACACAGGTAATGATTCTACCTTGGCTGTCACATTCGTCAGATCTTTCTTTAATTCAATTAGTTTGGTCTTGATGTCACATACACTGGCATGACAAAGACCAACACTTGAATTCTAACTTTGGAAATAAGTTACAACTGCTTACATTGGAGTATCCCGAAATGAGCATATCCTGTCAGTGCAGCATTCCTGAAATTTTAATTAGTTATTCTTTATATTATAAGGAATCTATAAAATAAATTTAAATGTGTTATATTTTCCTTGTTTGGTATATTATAATTTTAATGTTCTGCAGAGTTATTCTTGCCTTCGTAACTTCACTGTTTAATTTTTTCATATAACGAGCTACGACTTATGTTCGCTTATGTTAGCATTTAACAGATTGGAAATGACTCAGGAAAGCTATTCGTCATTGTTTTTGATGTAAAAGCAATGAAACTTATAAAATATGTTTTGCTGAGCAAACATAATGTATACAGGATGATCCAAGATTAACAGAAAAGAAAAAAATTAATTAAAAAAAAAAATCTAGATTAAAGGTCAAAATGAAGCGCTTGTACATTAAATTTCAAGATTCTGCCATTTCAAATGCCTAAATTCTAAATTTTAGATAACAAACTCTCATATTCATAATGAACAATTTTAGTAAAAATTTGTATTTTATCTTCACTTACTTCTTTGATTGTTCAATTTGTAATTGAACAATCAAATTTTTGATAGAAACTGAATCTTAGCGACATCTAGATGAATCCATTTTTGAGAGCTAGAAACAATTGATTCCATGTACAATGAATTATTTTCTGTCCTTATTACCCTTGTATACTTTATCCAAACATAGCATGATACACTTTACATCTGTAACTTTTGTTGATATGTAAATTTTTCATTTCATGAATCTGCTTATTGAGTTGTAAGCTAAGCATGCATTCTTCTCTTTAAACCAAAACATACCAAAAAAATACAAGTAACATTGCTTTTGCAATGCCTGGTACGATGAAAACAATTTCATTTCAGTTGATTGCTGTGTGTCAACAACTTATTCCACTTACAACAACAAATGTGACATGGTATTTCCATTACAAAATTATATTCTAAAATACTAAGCTATATCTCATATTCATAAAAGTAAAATAAGTTATGTTACCTGTGGTTAGTTTTGCTAATACAGCATGCATACATATTTCTTGTTGGCAATAAACTTTTTCAGAATTAGTAAAGCATAAAGCAATTCATACATATTAGATAATGTTAGAATTTAATTAACATGTTAATCATAAAACAGCTATTACTATAATCTTTGCAGAATGAACGGGAAAGTGTAATTTAAGCCCATCTATTGCTCTTATAATTTTTTAATAAATAAGTTCAGGTTCTTGCCTGTATTTCATTTACCTCATATGAAACATACCATATGAGATATTGTGACCTGAAACAGACGAAAAATGTCATTTGACACAATTAAAAATACAAACTTAATTTATACTATTTATCATTAATCTGAAGAAAAAAAAAAAAAAAAGATTATTTTTTTTATGCAGAATATTGACTATGTATAATGGTCTAAATTATCCAAAAATATTTCAAGACTCATTAAATTTCACACTACAAAATTGATTTTAAAAAAAAGACTAGAAAATTTACAGACTTTTTTCATGCAGCTTACACATGAAATAACTTACAATTTAACATAGCTTGTAAAATTTACCTTTTAATTTATCTTCATGAGCATGAATCTGACATCGCTTTACAATTTCAAAAGCATGTTCTGGTAAAGAAAACATTGCACTTGCTCGCACATCTGAACTTTCTGGTACATTGACAGCAGTGCAACAAATTTTGAATTCAAGATCTTTGCTAATATAAAGTTTATTTTTCTCCTGAACATACTGAAAAAAGTTTTACAGACATAAGTATGTCAGATTTGGTTGCAAAAAGAAAGTACTAAACACAGTTTGAAATAAAGATCAATAGAAAAATTATTAGCTGAAAAACCAATATCATCAATAGTAGCATGGAATAAAAAAAGTGTTTCTGAAACTGGATAAATAATATAATGTAAATAAAGTAAAAGTCAACTTCTAATAAATCATTAGATTACAAACCATGAGTGGAAATCTTAGTTTAAAATATTATTACTTAAATGAATTTTTAGAATCAGTAAACATTTTCATATTAAATTTTACATAACTTATTTTTAAATTTAATCATTTTCATACTTAATTTTAGATAACTTATTTTTAAATTTATAAATGGAAAAAAGAAAGAAAAGAAAAGAGAAATTCAAAGAGAATATAATATATCCCATGTACCAAAGCCAGAATTTTAAACAAAAATGGCACTTTAATTACTCATTATATTAATTTGAAATGCATCATTTAATTCTTTTTCCATAAATGATATATGTCATACTCTTGATTAGGAGTTCCTAAATTTATTTACTTCTGTGTACCCATTTGGGAAACCCATTTTCATAAAATACACTCATTATAAAGTAAACAAATGAAGAATTTCAATGTAAAAATAGTACAAACAGGCAAAAAAATTATTTCTGATTACAGTTTTATTGGAGCACAAGCCAATTTAACAAAAATGTTGGTGCTATAACGAACACAGTAGAAACTCTAGCAATGCACAGAGATGTTAAGAGCACTTGGTTGAATGAATAAAAATGTAGCTTAAAATTATTTTACCATGTCTTTGAAAATTGAAAGTTATGGCTTTAATCCCAACAATGAAATGCTAGGACTTTTTTCATTCTTTTTTACTTCCTTGTACGAAGTAAAAAGGAAGTATTGTAACCGCAAAAAGTTTCAGGCAGCATATTTCAACGAAAATATCAATTTTGATCGCTATCGAATGCAATTTAATGATGTTTTTGCATGATACCTGTACGGAAGAACAGAATAAAAGACTCGTTTCCTCAAAAAAAATTATAAAACTGCTTTGAAATTAATTCTGAAGAGAATTTTATGTGGTGTCTGTACGAACGTATGTAAGTATGTGCGTACGTACGTATTTCGCATAACTAAAAAATGAGTAGCCTCAGAACGTTGAAATTTTGTATATAGTACTGCTATAACATGTAGATGTGCACCTCGTATTTTGGTTGCAATGGGCCGCACTAAACATATATAAATATATTTATATATATATCCACTCTGTTATCCAACTCAGTGATCTCAGTTTCTTTACTCTTATATGTTTGTAAATTGTACATTTTTTGCGTAAAAATTATTGAATTATGTTGTTTTTATCTTCCAGTGAACATTTTTATGTCTTTAGTAAATCTGTGTGCAATATTTTTAGAATTATCAACAATTTTAAAGTTGTTTAAGCACCGCTAAGACTTTTTTTATGGCGGCCATTGATTGTTTACTTTTGAAACAGCAGACTAGTGGATTTGTTGCCAATCTAGAGAAACTTAGCTTTGCAACGCCAATTAAATCATGCTTAATCCTTTCTGGAATTTTTTCGAGGCAATAAGTGTTTAAGATTTACTTCATAATTTTTAATATAGATTATTTTGAGTTTTATGTATTTTGCCTTCTCGTGAAGTGAGAACTGAATTAATTGAATGAGAATACTCAATCGTCTGTAAAAAACTGTTTCTTTTTTTGTTTGTTTGCTTAATTTCTTTTATACATCATTCTAGCTTTATTATAGTATTTGAATAGAACATGTGGCAATGATTAGATAATTCTATTCTTTAAATAATATAAATTTTGTGCATTATGAGTTATAATATGAAAGAAATAGAATACTGTTAAGTGAATCCAGCGCCAGAGTGTCGCTATGATAAACAAATACTAGAGTGAATTTTAAAGAATGCATTTATTCTATTGTGGTTTATGCGCTGTCGGCGAAGTAGATTCAATTCAATCCAATAAGTTTAAATGAAATGCAAGAAAAAATGCGTATAATTTAATATTCCGTACAAGGAAGTCTTGTGGTGTACACATCAGATTTTTTTAACATACTGAATACATTCACTGGCCCTAAATTTTAAGGATCAGCAGATTTGTCCTACATACATAAAACCACATTCAGAAAGTATTTGATAAATGCCCATGAATATCTGGTATTCGATCTTTCACAACTAAAAATTGGATTTTACACATATTTGTATGAAAAACAAATCATTGTCTTCAATATAAATATGGTTATTATTCCACCCTTCTTCACAGAATTTTTTTGCTCCTGAAGAAGAGGGACCCGTTTCTTCTGCTGTTGAAATCTGTAGTGTTTTAGGTAATGATGTAGTATGCGATCTACAGCTTTTAGTTAATATTTTTTTTTAAATAGAATCAATAAAATTGGTTAATGCTTTAACCATTTCTTTTTCCCATCATTTTATTACATGTTCGAATATGAAAAGTAATGAATTTTTATTTCATGAAGCTACTATTATTGAATTATAAAACTACTAAAATTTAAATTTAACGAAATTAAAAATTTAATGGGTTATTGAACTTATTATTGGAATTGTTTTTTTATTTTCATCATATAGTAACCCGCAACTTCTCATGCCACTCAATTAATTGTTATTTGTGATTGATACGTTATATGTGCAGCTGAGTTCTGGAAAGATGCAGGTGGAATTTATGCTCCATACAGGGAACATGAGACAATAAATTTTTAAAAAGTCATGCGAGAAAATGAGCAGCTAAGCGCAGCTTTCAGAATGGGAACAAAGCAAGCGCTAATATGTTTTATGAAAGCAAAATGAGATAAAACTTCTTTATGTGCTGTTGACAGGGAATATTAAGACATTTTAATATAAGATAAGCTCTGAAAGTTTGCACCAAACAGCATGAAATTTAAATTTGGTGTAGGGTGATTTAAGAAATTTCCAAGGTGATTTTTTTTTTTAAATTCATTTGTCATATTAGATTTCCGGGAGGTATTTTGCCTCTTTAATAACATCTTTCTTCTTGTTATTTATCTTAATTGTAACTCCTATTTATCCTTAACGTTTAAAAAAATTATTCTTAATTACTTTTTTTTAAATAGAATCAATAAAATTGGTTAATGCTTTAACCATTTCTTTTCCCCATCATTTTATTACATGTTCGAATATGAAAAGTAATGAATTTTTATTTCATGAAGCTACTATTATTGAATTATAAAACTACTAAAATTTAAATTTAACGAAATTAAAAATTTAATGGGTTATTGAACTTATTATTGGAATCGTTTTTTTATTTTCATCATATAGTAACCCGCAACTTCTCATGCCACTCAATTAATTGTTATTTGTGATTGATACGTTATATGTGCAGCTGAGTTCTTGAAAGATGCAGGTGGAATTTATGCTCCATACAGGGAACATGAGACAATAAATTTTTAAAAAGTCATGCAAGAAAATGAGCAGCTTTCAGAATGGGAACAAAGCAAGCGCTAATATGCTTTATGAAAGCAAAATGAGATAAAACTTCTTTATGTGCTGTTGACAGGGAATATTAAGACATTTTTAATATAGATAAGCTCTGAAAGTTTGCCACCAAACAGCATGAAATTTTAAATTTGGGTGTAGGGTGATTTAAGAAATTTCCAAGGTGATTTTTTTTAAAATTCATTTGTCATATTAGATTTTCGGGGAGGTATTTTGCCTCTTTAATAACATCTTTCTTCTTGTTTATTTATCTTAATTGTAACTCTCCTATTTATCCTTAACGTTTAAAAAAATTATTCTTAATTACTTTTCATTCACTTTCCTATATATAAAAAATTATTCTTAATTACTTTTCAATCTCTTTTCTATGAAAAAAAAAATTATTCTTAATTACTTTTCATTCCCATTTCCTATCACCAGATGGAATTATTTGAATTTTTGGTTCGAAAATGTTTTAGCTTTTTTGTCTGCTTTCTGAAATAGACACAAGTTTCTTTTTTATGATTTTTACCTCTGCTGCAGAAGGTTCTGCCTAATCTTCAAAACTATCATATAGGAAGTTTGCTCACATTAGGCCAATCCTTTATGTTTATTGATCACTTCTGCAGTTTCTAGTTTATATGCTACATTCTTAAAAAAAAAAAAAAAAAAATCACATTAATATATATGTATGTGATAATTAACACTAGATTTACTACTGATTATGTACAACTACAGTGGTACCTCGATATACAAGTGCCCTAATATACGAGTGTTTTGAGCAGCCGAGCGAGCAATATTTTGCTTTGAGTTGAGAGCAAGATTTGAAATACGAGAAATTGTACACTACACCGTTGTACGTAACTGCAACATGCGCACACATGTTGGTGTCGTGTGCAGCATCTAACAGTTTCTCCCACCTCAGACTAGACCTCAGTCTGTGTGCTTGTTTCCTTCGTTTTCGAAGCATTTTTGATAAGTTGGATTCGCATTTTATGCTTTTTTTACATTTGCAAAACATTATCACATTTATTTTTATAACCATGGGTTCGAAGAAAAAGATGATGTCTATTGAATTAAAGCATGAAATCATAGAAAAAGATGAGCAAGCTGTGCAAGTAATTGACTTGGCAAGCATGTATGGGCGTAGCACATCGATGATATGTGTATCTAGCTACCTCTGCTAGTAAATCATTTGGAAAATCCCAGAGCCTTTAATCACATAAGATTTTAAAAGAAAAACTGCCAGTTATGTGGAGAGCAAATCTGAAGGCGTGGGTCACCAAGAAATTCTTTGTGGAGTGGATAAACCTGGTGTTTGGTCCTTCTGTGAAAAATATCTACAGGAAAAAAACCTACTGAAGCAAGCTGATCTCGTTCTCGACAATGCCCTTGCTCACCCACCAAATCTCGAAGATGATTTACTCGAAGAATTCAAGTTTATAAAGGTTCTCGACCTACCACCCAACACCACTCCTACCCTGCATCCCATTGATCAGCAGGTGATTTCAAATTTTAAGAAGTTGTTCACTTAGCACATTTTTCGGCGCTGTTTGGAGGTGTCAGAGAACACAAACCTTACCCTTCAAGAGTTCTGGAAGGACCAGTTTAACATCGTGATATGCCTAAGAATTATTGATCAGGCCTGGCTGGGCGTTACAACGAGGACCTTAACCTCTGCATGGAAGAAGCTGTGGCCTGAGACTGTAGCTGAAAGGGCCTTCGAAGGATTGGAACCCGAAGTGTTAGTGGTAGAGGAGATTGTTTTTCTGGGAAAATCCATGGGTCTGGAGGTGGATGAGAGAGATGTGAACGAACTTGTCGAAGATCAGTCTCAGGAGCTGACAACTGAAGAGTTACACGATCTACATTTGCAGCAGCATATGGTGGTTCAACGAAAAATTAGTTTTGAAGAGGAGTCAGAGATGAAGGAGGTTATCCCTACAAGAGATATAAAGCAGATCTTGGGAACGTGGGAGAAAGTTGTAGAGTTTGTGGATAAAAATCACCCCGAAAAAGTTGCAACTGGTCGTGCATAGGAGTTTTCAACGAAACTCGCCCAACCCATTTCCTGCAATATCCTGAAAGGGTGGAAGAAGAAGCAAACCTTCCTTGGACAGTCTTTTTAAACGATCTGCAGGTGAATAAACCTCCTTGGACAGTTTTTTAAAACTATTTGCAGGTGAAAATGAGCAAAGCGTGACAAAAAAAGCAAAGACCAGGTGACGAAAATTAAGCGCTTCCGTAAGCACTTCACTTTTTCTTTTAACTATGCTTTTACGGAATATGTATATTTGTTATTTATAAATAAATGTTTCTTCTTGTAACACATCTTTCTTTCAAAAACACTTAACAAAAACAACTGAGGTGGGTGTTTTGGGAGCTGGAACAGATTAATGGCATTTCAATTAATTTCAATGGGGAAAATTGCTTTGAGATGCGAGCAATTTGATATACGAGCGAGGTTACGGAACGAATTAAACTCATATGTCAAGGTACCACTGTATTCTTATGAGGAGAGGGAAAAAAAAAAAAAGAAAAAAAAATTTTTTTTTTTTTTTTCATAATCCTAGTGTTAAAACTTGTATATTGAGTATTTAAAAAAAAAAGACTATTTGAACACGATACAACTCAAAGATCCTAGCAGATCCGTTAAGCCTTCCCCCCCCTAGCTTTTATAGTTCCTCACAGCAGTGAAGAAAAGAGTGAAAAGTGGAAGGAAAGTCTATTTCCAACTTATAAGCACATTACTTTTCGAATTATGTCTAATGCCAACCACAATGAACAGAACCCATTATCTATTTTATGAGAAATTATAATAATGGACAATGATTTAAAAAAAAACTTACAATGGCAGTGTCATTGTTTTTTGGATTCACATTGCAGGTGAGTTGTATTTTAAATGAATGAGCACCACCCCAGTTGTCCCTATTAAAAAATGTAAAGAAAAAACATGTAAAACTTCAGAATTTTTATAATTATGAAATCTGAAATATTTAAAAAATTAAAATTAGGCATACATTATAAACATAAAAAAATATATGTAGATTGGTAAAATAGAAATTCAGAAATGTACGACTAACATGTATTAGTCAGATATATCAAGGAAAAAAAATCACAAATAATTTTTCATGAAGTTCAAGTCTCACAAAGTGGTCATACCAGCATGGCAGAATCTACACAAATTGGCAATTATTTGCAAAAATTCATAAAATAATTCAAATTTATTGTAATACAGTACATAATAGAAAGAAATGTGTTTTAAAATTAAAAAAGTTCAACCTCAGTATTTACAATATTAACTGAAAAGCTACATAGCAGTAGCTCAAACATTAAATTTTTGCCTCACTTTTCAGCAAAGTCATTTATAGCAGATGATCAACATATCTGCTGTTTAAAAGATCGAAGTTCTTATTTTATGGTTATGAGCTGGAGAATATTCTCCAAAATCTAGCAGCATGTACAGACAATCATTGTGCAAATAAGGTTTTGAAATCTTCAGTGCAGCAATCATTTGCATTAAATAAAATAAACATCTTCTGATACTTCTGAGCTCAGCAAGTGCCAAGATGGTCAATCAGTGTGTAACAATGTGAAATTACTAGACCACAGCATTGTTATATCTTGCAAAGTGGTTCCTAAACTGTGCTCCATTTGCCCTTTTCAGCAGCATCAGAGAAATAAACAAAATAAAAAAAATCAGTAAAATTAAAGAAGAAAAATCAAAATTGAAAATTCTAAAATTGCATTTTGAACATAGAAATTTGCTAAGTTGAATTTTACGTCTTCTAGCAAACAATGCTTGTTCATTCATTGGAACTACAAATATTTGAGAAGCTCTTCACTCATTCAAGAATTCCTACACCACTTGAAAGTTCTCAAAGCTTAGCCTCATTATAAATACAATTCGCTAATCAATTTAGAGTCACTTCACAGTGAATGTCCATAGTGATAATCTTGTGATTTCTTTGCGATTCTTTCATAAGTTTTCTGAGAGTTTTATTTTTTATGAGGTCTAATTGCATAGTTAATGAAGTTTAATGGCAATTCCATCCATAAAAGTGATAATTAAAATAATAAATTTATAAAATCATGACTTCTTAAGAGCAGACTTTATTTACTAAATTAAGAATATGGGAAACCACCAAAACATGTTGCCATATTTGATGTAATTGCATGTGCACTTAGTAGCATTTTTAATGAACTATAACACTTTATTGCTAACGTTTTAAAACGGTGATATATAGGGTGTATTCAATGGCATATTGGCCAAAATATTTAGAAATATGAATGAAATGAATCTATCAATAGTTAGGGAGAACTACCACAGTTCTTTATGCAAACATCAGAGTGAATCTTTTTAGCCCTTTGACAAACGCTAGTATATAAAGTTTGTTTGTCAATTTTTTAACCGGTTGTTTGTCAATTTTTTAACCTCCGAAAAAATGCTAATTTTTCTACACTAAAAGCTATAATCGTAAGTGTCTAGTGTTTCATTTCGATTCTAAATGGCAGCATCACTCTATGAATGCTCAATATTTTGCAGTTATGAAATTAATATACCTCGTTCCAAGGATCATGTTGGAAAATTGTACTCAGCTCGAGTTTCATTCGTCTGTGTTTAGATAAATTTTTTATTTCAGAACTTATTCCTTTCCCGGGAGAAAAACTAATCGATTTCAAAATTACTGTCTGGGGTTAAAATTTTACACAATTGTGGGGGTTAAATGTGGCATGTTAGCCCCCAAAAGATACCAGTTGCTTCGTGTTTCCAAAATCCTAGAATGCAAGGAAAACGAAAAAAGGTGACTGACAACTAATTTGCATTCGGGAGTCATGCCTTCTTCCCTTTGTGAGGTGTGATAAGATCACACAAAGGGAAAGCTCACTTAAAATGGTAATGTACTTAAGGTCCATCTCATAGTATAATCACAAAAACTGCTGGTTTGAAAGCATGCTTTTATTTTTTAGGGAAATTCTTTTTAATTCTTTGTTAATTTCAGATGAAAGACTAGAGAACACAAGAGAAATTTGCCCTCTGGTTGATACAAGTAGGTTGTTTCCGATATAAATTTTCACAGTTGGTGAAAGGAGGGAAAATACTTCTAAGGCCCGTTTTAAATGCAAACTAAAATTTATCCACAAGTTGAAAAGGAGCCCCTAGGAAGCTAAAGGGGTTGAAAATCAGAATAAGAGCTTTGAGGTGTATCAAATAATAAAATTGTTTAACGGCGTTTCTTCCTTAACCAAAAGATATATTACAACCTACATTTACAAAAAATTAAAAAGTGACCCTTTCTATCATAGTATTAAGCATAGTTTTTTTTCACATATTATCTAAAGCATGAAATACAACTTCAAAAATGCAACATACTTTCTCAGCTGAGTCGTAGTGTTTCATTTTTCAATTTTTTTAATTTTCAGCTGAGCTACATCTGCTTGTAATATTATACAAGTTCGGTTACAGCATGATACGATTTATGCATGGTGTTATAATTGCTAAATTCTTTTTATAAAATAATAATACTGAATTTAAATCACGTTGAAAAGCTTTTTACCCATATTTTACATAAGTATGTTAGCTGGGTTGCATCCTCAAAGTGCATAAAAACATAAATTTTATTTTTAAAATTTTAAGTTTCTACCAAAATTAAAAAATATTTTGTCTTCAGACTTACATAACTATATTCAAGCACTCATCACTACAGACGCACATCAAAAGTACGCAAAATTAATTAAAAAAACAAAAATTAACAGTTGTCAGCTACCTGGAAAAAAATGTCATAGAGGGGCACCTGTATAAAATATATACCGTCTCTCAGAATTCAGGATTTCACTCTAGATTTTTTCAAGTTTCAATTTTGTGTCCTTAGAGTCCATAAGTTATAGTTCATGCAAAATTTTACCAAAATTAAATTATTTTATATACCGCCCCTTAAAGAGTTAAGACAAAATTTAAATACTGACTAGACAATCCATTTTGGATGGAAATAAAATCAAGATTCAAGAAAAAATAAAATAAAATATTCGGCTGCACTTTTAAGCTATAAAATACCCATTTGAATTTACATGCTCGAAAGGCTTTAATGAAGTAATGAATAAGTCATGTGTGAACATAAAACTATCTAGCTTTAACTCCACAAATTACAAGATCCTGATAGATTTGGTATCTCACCAGCAAACTAAAAATCATGTTTCAAAATCCAGTCTGCCGGAGTTTTGGTTGCATATAAGTTGAATTCAAAATTTTGTTTGAAAAAGCAAATTTAATGCTACTGCCTTTCTCAACTACACATCTCCATAAAGCAGTTTTCTCTACCTATACAGGTACCAAACCAATTTATATAATCGTATTGATTATGGAACAAGGCATTCACCTGCAATTATTGACAGCTGAAACTAAAATAAAAAAATTGAACACACATACATAATTAAAAAAGAGAGGCAAGAGGAGTAATTACAGATGTCTTATTAAAAGTTTATATATATGTATTTAATATTATCCCTTAATTTAGGTTTACAGCAATCCATAGTACAGTAAACTTAAATTGTTATTCTCTTCTATAAACAGTAATAAAAATTTCAAATAATTAATAATGAACGACTATGTAGTTGAACTAAACTGCATGCAATGATTACCTTCCAGACACCAAATTTATTGTAACAACCTTAATGATGTTCTCAGCAAGAACATACAATATCTGTTGTAATACAATTGATTTCCTTGTCACAAATGCATTTTTGTATTCCTCTGACAGTATTCTTACACATTATTAACTTGTAAGACACAGGATAGGACAGGATAGGCTTAAAGGACTAAGGTAGAGCAATTAATTCCAAAAAGGGCTCCATGAATAAAAAAGTTTCGGATTATTGATCTAGCTTAAAAAGCACTGAATTTGAGGGAAAGCTGAGATCATTCCCTGAAGACTCATATGAATGAGATCACTGTAGTGAATAACTACTGTTAATAATTGAGCTGCAACTAAGGTGAAGAGGAAGAGCCAAGGTGTGATCAATGATGAGTCAGGAAAAAGGAGACTGGTTATAGGAAAAATTGACTTGCACTAAAGAATAATAATGATAATGCAGGCACTAAAGAACTGATGTGGAAACTGGATTGTCTTAGAACTATACTGTTTTGAAGGAGTAGCCAAATTGATTTGAGAACGGATTAGATCTAGGAAATAACAGAGGTAAGTTTAAATTTTGAATTTGGTTGGGAAAATGAGTAAAGGAAAGATCACAACAGGTTTTTTTTGCTTATTGTTAAGAGTAATATCATAGTTCATTTCAAAGATATAACTTTATTAATGTTGGAAAAAACTTTTTGGCTAATTTAGCCATGAATCCTTAATATTTAGTTCTTCATAAATGAAAATATTTCTGATATGCCATGAGCTTTATATAATTCGACTAAGCGTAATATTTTGTAGTTTGCAACCAAGTGAGCTGCATTTTACATGCGGTGCATGAATATGTTTCTGCAATGACTGAACAAATAAACTCAAAAATACACTAGGGGGGGGAGATCCAACATATTATGGCCCATATGGTGAGTTTGGTGTTGGGTTATATTGTTTTTATAAAGGAAAATAGGATACAGCCCAATAATGACCCTAGTGGTATGTTTGCAAAAGTTTGCTGATGTGGATTGTAGTTACTGTTGAAGAATAACAAATTAGTTATTCACCGAATGTAAAAACTGATGATGAACATGATGGCTCGATGGGGTCAGAGAAGGACAAGATGATTATTTTTCAAAAGCTGAAAAATGATGATGTGATTCATCAGCATGCAGGATGATTCAATATTATCACAGAGAATAATGTCTTCCAGCAAAAAAAAAAAAAAAAAAGGGGGGGGTGGCTATTTGGAACAAAAATTGGTTTATGGAACATTTGCAATTGCTTTAAGATAATATTATCTGTTTCTACACTGTGCGAGAAAGAGGAAAAATTTTCAAAAATAAATGCTATGGGTTGTTCAGATGATCATTTTGGTTAATGGACATTTAGATTTTAGACTTTGCCCTGAATAAACAAAAATATACACAGTTTTTGTGCATAAAATTATTTTATAAATTTGTCAGTACTTCTATTTAATATAACATTTTAAATACTTTTGTCAACCACTCCCAGTTGTTGCCATTTTTGCTGATTACAGCCAGTTTCTGCCATTAGCAGAGCAATAAATATTTCCTATCAACAGGAAGCAAGATTTTGGAAGTTACAGAAAAATTCACTAATAAACATCTAAAATTCACAAATCTAAGTTCATTACTGTTATTCAAACAAACCTTCCAGGAAGACAAGCTGACACTTTGTTTGTACTTCTAGTATTTTGCAGGTCAGTATTAGCATCTTTATTATTGATTAACACAGATACAAGATTTAAGTGCTGGAAAAAAAAAAAAAAAAAGAATAACACTTTAAACTTTTTGAAACAAATATAATAAAGTACAATAATATGATAACATACATGAAAATGATGTTACTCATTAACAGCAAAAATATAGCTAAAACTACATTGCACTCTAGTAAATATTCAAAACACATACAAGCCTGTAAAAAAAAAAAAAAAAAAAAAAGCATATACCATTATATAACTCAATTGCAATATATACTTTGGGTTCAGTCATTGCAACAGTAAATTGACATGTTGCAGTTACAACAGATAAAAAAATAAATTAGGTTACAGTAGTACATTTTGAAAATTGTTGCTCTTTCAAATAATTAAATTTTAAAACTCTACACCTTTGGAGTAAATTAAAAGAGGAGCAGTTTCGGCAAGCACGTATGAGTAAAATTTTATACAGTTTTTGATTTCTTTGCAAATCAAAAACTGATCATTTAAGACTAATATTTTAAAACTGAATTTTTTTATTATATATTTTAAGCTAAAATAAATTCAAATTTATTTTAGCTTTACTTTGAAATAGCATTTTCCATTTTATATTAAAGGAATTACAATCTAATACACATTTAAATAACTGTTGTATAGCATAGTTTGCAAAAGAGATAAAAGTATGCATTAAAATTAAAAAACAAGTTTCAGTCAAAATGCTGGATTTTTATAAATGAAATTATTCTTTTAGGTACTTTTAGATCTGAAAATAAATATATATGTGAGTGATGATTTCTTCATCCATGATAACTCTTATGTGAGTAACGCCACAAAATTTATATTTTCTGTTTTTAAGCTTTTCACATTCATACAAGAAGAGCCACTTTTTCGGAGGTAAAAATATTTAAGGTGTGAATGAAATAAAATTTAAATCTATATAATTATACATAATTTACAGATCTTCTATAAATTTTTTAACTCCTTTACATGATTAAACTGAAAACGCAATAACTTTAGCAGTTATCATATTTTTTCATGTTATTATTTTATATGGCATAACCCATTCATACTTGCTAACTCACCCTTGCAGAAATAACTTGAAAACTATCTTTAGTAAGAAAAGTCTATGGTGTGATCAAATCAATCATCTCCTGCCAACCTGTATACATAGATAAGGGAGGTAATGTTTTCAGTCCAAAAATTCAAGTGAAGAGTTTTCAGTGAATAAGCTAGGATTAGGGTCTTTGCAACACATTTTTACATTGATGGCTCTGTGTCTGTATGTGTGTGATGATTTTTTTCATCCATGACAATTCTTATATGGAAATCCCCCAAAATTTATATTTTCCATGTATAAACTTTCCACATTCATATAAAGTGTTGATAATTCATATAAGAATTCTGGGTAAAATTGATTAACAGCACATAACACTGTACAGGAAGCCTATAAATAGTCTTTAATGAACAACTTGCAAGTGGTACTTTATTTGAAGTCCATAACAGTTTTTAACGAAAAACTACATTAAAATGTAATTTTAGTATTTAAAACTTTTATATGAATGGGAACAGCATATTAGATTTTTGCCAAAACTGATAACTAAACCTCTTAAGTTATATTTGGAGTTCTGAACAGACTTTCATAAAAGATATATTATAAGATAATCCAAAAATTCTCATATTTAATATTTAAAATAGATGTGTGATTGAGAAAACATATTACATTTATAAGCATTAAATGTATTCTTGGAGTTATGCTAAATGCAACAAGAATGATATTATATATTAAAGAAATAATATAGCAAATATAGAAAGTAATGCATGGCAACACTATATCAAGAATTCTAAAGATATGCTGCTTTTAAAGTGCGATGTTTAAACCATTCATTTGTGAATCCCTATACGACTTTATGCGTGATTTTGTGATCATTATACGACCAGAAGATATACTAAGATTGATGCAATATTTTCAAACCAAAGCATGAGAATAGGTGTGAATACTTATTGCCCATTGTATGGGAGAATAGAATAATAAAAAATTAATACTGTTTATAATTAACACTAAGCCATAAGGTTTATAAATAAATTATATTTTATTTACAAATGAACACTGGGAAATTGATAGTTTACTAAAAGCTTGTTGCTATTCCACTAATTCCATGTCTTAACTTGTCTTGGTAGGAAATTGTGTGCTGGCCACATCAGATACATTTTGTGTGTGTGTGTGTGTTTTGTCATTTATTTAAAAACAAATTGTAGGCTGTTAGCCAAGTCAAGTGCAATATAATTTCATGTTGAAACCAGTACTGTTCTAAATTAGTATTGTTCCCCCTCATTTTCTTGGAAAAATTTATCAAAGTAAGCTCCTTTTTCTTCAAGTGACAGAACAGCTGGCCAACTAGGTAAAATGTTCACACAGCCAGATGAGTCTCATCGCATGGTAGATTTCATGAAAGTTCAAGAGCCACAACTGGGTTTTCCATCAGTTGCAAATTCATATTTATATTGTTTCAAAAATCATGAACATTTAAAATAAATTAATGATAATTTCGCATTTTTATGTAATTAATATGGTTGCATAAAAATATTAAATTTTATTTCTCTTACTTTGTGTTCATTAATATTTAAAATAAATTAATGATAATTTTGCATTTTTATGTCATTAATATGGTTGCATAAAATATTAAACTTTATTTCTCTTACTTTGTGTTCACAACAAATTATAAATTTAAAACTATTGTTAAGATGCATTTGAACATTCTTCTTTCAGGTAAAAAACAAGCATTTTCTTTTGGTTTCCTTTATTCTTTCTTCTTCATTCATAATCGTTGCTTGCTTTTATTAGAAGTGAACTGAAATCGAAAGAATGTGTATTGATCTTTAGAAATACATATTGCAAAAGGTTTTTCATTTGAATGAAGAATAAATGATTCATTTTAAAAAACAAATTAAATTATTTTTCTTAACAATTTTAACTAATAATACATTGTTTTAGAAAACACAAAATAAGTGATATGGGAAAGTGCACATGGCAGAGAAACTGTTATTTGAGAAATAAAAATTATTTCAGAATAAGCTATTAACATTTTAGGCTTTTGCATGAAGATCAATAACTTTATTTTCCCACTCAATTAACTTGAGGGCTAATATATTAAAATTAAATCTAGTTTTAAATAATTGAATTACTTCATTAGATGTAAACAGGATTATAAGTTACAGTTGTCAAAGATTCGAACTAGTTTTTCAACATTCGAATCTTTTGAGCCCTAACCTTATAAGGTATTTCTCCCGCCTTCTTAGCATGCCTTCATAGTGTATTGGTCAGCACACTGGGCGCTTATTCCAGAGGTCTATGGTTCGATTCCCGGTGAGGGCGTTGCTCATTTTTCACATCTCTTGCTTCCAAAAAATCTTAATGTCTCTACAACCTAAAAAATCATTAAATGTTTGAAATAAAAACTATGGAATGACTAGTTTTGTTGATGTCTAGTATAGATGAATTCATTAAAAAAAAGATGATGAAAGCAATTTCAGTGGTATCAGACTCATTATTTTTATTCACTATGGCCCTGAGTGCTGCACTGTTTCAGCATAATTCTAAGCGAAATTTACTAGAATGGTTAAGTAATCAGTACACTGCACACCATTGAAAATTTTCAAAATTACCTATTGAATTGTTTTGATAATTCTGAACATAGATAACCTACTACTAATAAATATAGTAACCTATGTCATTATATATAAATCGTTTTTGCTTCAGTCACATATTCCATCTATATACCAATTGAAGTCTTTACCAATGGCTGTTGAACTTTGAATTGGTTTTCAAACAGAGCCAAATCAAAATTAATAATACAGAGAGAAAAGATAATTATGACTACTGTAATGAATTTATTTTACAAATATTGATATAAAATGAAAGTTTAACTCTCCAAATTTCTATGGACATTCCCAGATGTTCGACGTGAAGATTTTTTTTTTTTTGTAATACAGCGCGTGTCCACATGATCATTTAGTTCTCGAGTTCTTGCCACAGAGTGTATGTATCCAGCCTATCCTAACTGTTAACTGCTGGGTCTATAAAGAGAGTCATATGACTTATTGTCTTAAAAAATCAAATTCAGTAGCTTAAAATAAAACTTCTTTTCTAATTGCCAAACTAATTATTACATATCTTGTGTATAAATCTATCCAACTTGTGGGAACATCAGCTTAAATAAAATTAAAATATTAAATTCTAAGAAAAGTAAGCCTTCAAACTTTGATTCACGCATAGAAAGTTTCACTAACAGTTACAGCTAACAAACTAAAGATGAAATCAGTAATAAATTGCTAAGTAATAGTGAGACATCAGCTATAGTAGCCAAAAGATTTGTTCTAAGGACTCCGTGCTTAATTCAAGAACTAACGTGGATAGTGGTAGGAACCAATGAAAAGTAGAAATTGAAATAAAGGCAAAATAATATGGTAACTTATTAATAAACATAAAACTCTCAACAAGTGATGATATAGCTTGATAAATTGAACCAACTACCATGCCTGACTGCTGCTTTATTTGCTTATGTCCTGTTGCGAAGGAAACCTAAGCATTTCCAAGGAATAAATTACAAAGTTGTGCGATGATGGGTATAAACACATCACATTTTGTTAAAGCACAGAAAACATTTATCTTCAAGAATTACATATATGTTTCCTATGTAATTAGAGAAAAAAATGAAGACCATTGATGAAAATTCAGCGCTTCCGTAAGCACTTCACTTTTTCTTTTAATTATGTTTTTATAAAATATGTATTTGTTATTTATAAATAAATGTTTCTTCTTGTAAATACTTTCTTCGTCTTATTCAAAAACACTTAACAAAAAAACAAAAAAAAAAAAAAAAAAAAAAAAAAAAAAAGAGGTGGTGCTTTGGGAGCTGGAATGGATTAATGGTATTTCAATTAATTTCAATAGGAAAAACTGTGAGATACGAGCAAGGTTACAGAACAAATTAAACTCGTATGTCGAGATACCACTGTATATGTTTGTTAAATTATGTTGATATCCAGATTCAAGT